CCAGGAGTATCGATGATGGTCAGAGAGTAGGGCAGAGTTTCATCTTCAAAACCAAAGATCTCGTACACGATCACATCTGATGTCTGACTTTTCTCCTCTTCTACAATCATAAACCAGACTCTATCCTCCCACTTCACTCCCATGGTATAGTTGACCAGAGCGTTGATCAGAGTAGATTTTCCTGCTCCAGTTTCACCCACAAGTAAGATGGTTTTATTTATCTTGTTTGGATGTTTTTCTCCAACAATCATTCTTGTCATAGTTCCAAAGTTCTGTTTCTTTGGTCTCAGCTGGTAGACAGCAGGAGGTCCTGACCTGATGAGAAAACTGTTTAAGATGATGTCTGAGATCAAACTGATCCTGCACAGAAAAGCACAAAATGTCTTCAGTACACATGTAAACATTAAGAACATGTTCCTATTGTTTAACACTGAAAAACAGACCTCATCCTTTTCTGCTCAGAATCAAAAGTCACATAAAGTTAAACCTTTTTTTTTCTTTTTCTAATTAGATTCTTATTTTTGTCTGTCTGCTCTCCCAAAGTATTCGTGCTTATACTGCTACTTTTTTGTACACTTTATATATTTCTGAGAAAAAAGTGACTGTGTAGGTTGAGTGTAGATTGCCTATGTATGGAAACACAAGACCTCTTCTTTTCATTTTTTATTCATTTATTTGTAATTCAAAGGCTGAACAAATAAAAGTTTCCCTTAATCTTTATCCCGGTTGGCATGACAGTCATCTGGGTGGGTCATAGCTGTTGCTGGCCTGGATTCATACAGTTTAATTTCACTAATATGGATAAGAATCAGCACTGCTGAGCCTGAGGCCTTGGTTCCCAGCTAGAAAATAGTTGAAGTGCCCATCAAAGTTTTGGTATGAGATGCTGGACTAATTTTTCTTTTTTGCACATTATTGTAATTTTACTTCCCTATAAAAAGGTAGAGGTAATTCTTTAATTTCTCTTTATTTGTCTTTGTGGCGGATGTAGCAATGGGAATTGCATTTATGATTATGCACTCCTGGAGGTTATAGAGTGTAACACCGGTAATAGACTCATGACTGTTTGAAGCTGTGAATAAGAGTTTGATAAAGAGTACCTGAGATGAGGTAAAAGAACAACTGAACATCTTGTGGAGTTCATAAAGAGAACAAGATGAAACAGCAGGGGTGTGGTCTCTGGCCTGCTGCAGTGGAGGGACAGTACGGTGAGCTCTCAGGGTAGCATCAAAGAGGCAGCGGAAACAGGTGTGGGCTGGAATTAATCACAATCTCTCTGCTCTATTTATATACAGTGACAGCAGAGACAAGGAGGTGTGTGAAGAGTGGTGAGAGCAGGAGTCACTCCTGGAGTTACCTGTGCTGTATAGTTAAAAAGTGAAACTACCAAAAGTCAAAATAAAGAATTGTGAGTTTCGGCACCACTGTGGCAAAAGACCCGACACACGTGTGTCGGGTCTTTTGCCACAGTGGTGCCGAAACCCTGCCAGGATGTCCGACCCCCAGGCTGCCCGACCCCCAGGTTGGCCTGCCTGGGCCAACCTGGGGACCTGCCTGGCGATGCTACAAGAACAGGCGGAGCAGCACTTGGAGGTTCTGGAACAGTTTGTTGAAGGACTGCCTGGAGGCACTGTGCGGTGGGTCCGGTTCCCCCAGCCGGCGAGCCTGGAGGCCGTGGTAACTCTGGCCGAGGATCACTTGGCCACGGGGGCAGAGAGAATTTGATTAATTCCAGGCCAAACCTGTTTCCCCTACCACCTTGACGTCGCCTTGAGACCTCACCGTACCGCCTCTCCACTGCAGCAGGCCGGAGACCACACCCCCACCACAGTCTTTTTTTCATATTCTCACAAAACACTGATTGATCCCAGTTTCTTTTTGAGAAAAAAATACATGTTCATAGTTAACTTTCAAATTTAGCCATGGAAATCAGGTTTTTATCACCCTTTTCATCGGTTACAGAACTATAGTTCATTAGTGTTGTGTCATACTGAGAGAAGAAACAGTTTGAATGCTGACAGTGAAATAAACCCAGGTCATACTTTCACTGATGTGTTTCAGCAGTGATATTAATCTGTTCACTTTTCTCTGATCATTAAAGATCCGCCTAGCTTTTTTTTGTGTTTCACAGAAGCAAGTATAAACTTAAGTCACTATTCTGTAAGTTATGTTTGTTTGACATACCGCTGTGCTTCTTTTGTTGCTTCATCCACTCTGTTTCTCATCTCCTCCAGTTTCTGGACCTTCTCTGTGTCTCCTTTCTCCTTCATCTTCTCAATCAGGTAGTCCAAGTGGACAATAGTGGACACTGAATCAGCTTTCAGAGCGATCTGCTCCAGTCTGACAACATGTTGGTAGGACTCATTGAGCCACTGGGACTTCTCTGCTGTCAGCAGGTTCATTTCCTTTTCAAGATTTTCCAACAGGTTACACTTCTTCTCACTTTCTTTTTGATGGCCTTCATATTTCTGCTGCATTTCTTCTTTGTTCAGTGAGGAAACAGCTGCTGTTAGTTCAGTCACTTCCTTTTTAACAGTTTTTAACTGTCTGGCTTTGAACTCATATTCTAATACATTTGCTTCATACTTCTTTTTCATTTCTTCATTTGTCTTCATTTCCCTCTTTGTCTTGGTCTCATAACTCCACTTTACTTTCACATGATCTGATGCAGGACACCTGTTGGTACAAACAGTGCAGAGACCTCCTTTCATGACTTTACAGTGTGCAGGTTTCCAGGCCATTGTGCATCCAGGATAGTGACAGTTCTCCTCACAGACTGTACAGCAGACAGCTGCTTCATAAAAAACTAAACCCCACATCCCACCATCAATGGGTTCTTTATTTTTGTAGACCTCATCAACAACTACTGTGAACCTCTCATTCCTCTTCATCTCTTCTTCATGTTCCTTTATAGTTTGTTGGATTTTTAGAGCTTCTTCACCTTTCTGTTTTCCTTGGCTCTTCAGAGTTTCATGGATTTTTTTAGCTTCTTCAATCTTTTTCTTTTCTTTTTTCTGTTTTTCTTCATGTTTCTTCAGAGCTTCTTGAATCTGTGTGATTTCTCTCTGTTTCAGTTGAATATACTCTATTCTATTATTCAGGTTTTGGATGCAGGCTTTCAGTCTGATTCTTTCATTTAGCACTTCAACTGTTTTCATCACTTTTTGAGGTTTCAATTTTCCCAAGAAGTCTGTAAAATGATTGATTTTTGTCTCTGTGAGTTGCCATGAATGTTTTGATGACTTATTTTCTTCAGTTCGATCTTCATGCTGTTGGTTATTAAACAGGAAGTGAACAGGCTCATTCTTCTCATTTTTGGCACATTTAATGTTTGTAGCTTCAAGAGCTTGAAGAGGGTTTTTAGGTCTGCTTCCATCTGAGTGTGTGATCAGAGCTA